ACTATTCCAGGATATATCTTTTAGTTCAAATACTTAATTAATTATACCATATTAGTTTCGCTTTTACTTTAGAGCTACCAAACCAGTGATTTAGTTCCAAGTAATTACATAAATCGTAATAATTATTGTTCTAAAAAATAATATTAGATATCATATAGAGAGATCTGTATGATATATAGATATCCCTATTTTTTTATACCCAAAGCTTTATGAGATACTTAGCTCTTGAAAGGTAGTTAAGAAATTAATTAATATCATAATATGTAGAGAACACTTAAATAGTAAATAACTAGTAAGCTAAATGTATTAATTGAAAGAAAGAGACATTTTGAGGCTTAATTAAGGCCGAACGACTTATGCATACCCAAAGTTTACCGTAATGACAAGTTGGTACTTAAAAGGTTTTGAAACGACAAATAGGTACCTTCCGTTATATTCTGTTAATGATTTTTGTTTATTAATAATGAAAAGACTAAAATGCCCTTCAAAGTTTCAATTTTTGTTTTTTATAAATTTAAAAATTTCTAAAAAACCCCCTAAGTTTGCTAATTTAATTAAACACCCTCATATATAAAAAGTTTGTTAAATGACAAAAACACCCCCACCACCCCCAATGCCAGATTCCGGCCACCATCGCCGGAATTTGGCCGGAAAACTGCATTACGACACAGATCCGTCGGATCTGTGTCGTAAAGTGCCGATCTGGCCTTTTCCGGTCAGATCCGCCACGGATCTGGCCGGAAAAGGCAAGATCTGGCCGTCGAAGCAGCAGCCAGATCTGGCCTTGTCCGGCCAGATCCGTGGCTGATCTGGCCGGAAAAGGCCAGATTACTGCCAGATCTGGCCTTCGAGCGCATATGGAGTTTTGCGGCGTCGACGGCCAGATCTAGCCGTAGATCTGGCCTTTTTCGGCCAGATCAGCACAGGATCTGGCCGGAAAAGGCCAGATCGACGCGTTACGACACAGATCCGAGGGGGTGTGTGTAACGCAACTTTTCGGCCAGATTCGGCGGTGGTGGCCGGATCTGGCACTTGCGGGTGGGAGTGTTTTTGTTATTTTATAAAATTTTTATATTTGGTATTAGTGAAATTTGTAAACTTAGGGGGTTTTTTGAAATTTTAAATTTATAAAAAACTAAAATTCAAACTTTTAAGGGCATTTTAGTCTTTTCACTATTAAAAACAGTAATAAATAGAAATCACTAACAGAACAGACGGAAAGTACCTATTTGTCATTTCAAAATCTTTTGGATACCAACTTGTCGTTACGATGAATCTTGGGTATGTGTAAGTCGTTCCCCTTAATTAATTTTAATTATGAGATGGTAGATCATAAACAACATAAAAGGAGATGGTATGCGCTTTCACTAGTTGATTCTATATATGGTGGCACACTTTGTGGACCAACTTTTAGAAAGGAGAAGATGCTGCCAACAGGAATTCCCCGCCCTTTCAGGACTCAATTCAATTGGAGGCTGGAGCCATTACCTGGAGGCTAGGGCCATTTCCTCTCTAATTAAAATGCATGTTGAATGTTGGGACACGTGAGTGTTTGTTAATTAGAGAGAAAAAAAAAAAAAAAAAAGGCATTCAGTCATAAAATAATTGATCCGTTAAAATTCTAAAAAATCTAGCACAAAAAAAAAAAAAAAAAAAAGAAAAAAGAAAAAAAGGCAAGATTTTGTAAATTAATTCGATAATGAGCAAATTATTGAATGAACATAAATAAGCTAAACAAAACTTTTTCACCCAACACGGGCACACGGTACCAAATTCTGTGTGGTCTTGCAGCCAATATGATGCCATATTCTTATTATACCTTTTGCTTTCGAAACAATTATTTATGGTAGTTCAACAATATCATGATTTATCAATATTAATATTGAGTGATATCATATATAAACTATTTATACAAATTTTTCATATAAAATGATATAAAACTGAAATGTTTGTCAAATAATCTTTTTAATTATTTAATTATTTTAATTTAAAATAACTCGATCAACTTAAAACACATTCGTTTGTATGAAGGCATTTGTATATAAATATTATCCCAATTAATTTTGCCACTTTGAGCAATAAATTTGCAACCATTGCAAAAACATCCATAAAATGATTTGGCCAACCAAACTTATCTTTATTCCACGGCATTCTCTTATGACCAAGACTAATATATAAGTTAACAGTAAGTTGTTCAATTAATGTAAAAGTGAGTAAATTCTCTGGACCACAACGACCCTTTACCTAATTACACACTACTATTCAATGCAAACACTCAAACACTATTGCGGGCCAAACACTATCAACATCAACATAAAGTTTGTAAATTATAATTAAAAACTGTAAACAAAAAGTATAAAACTTGTTTCATGCAATTATATAAGTTGTATATTGCCAAAGCTCTCTAAACATAATCGCATGATCACACAGTTTTGGTCGTCTGCAGTTGCAGCAAAATTTTCATCAACCTGTACTAGAGCTATCTACTTAAACATTAGTAATGAAAGCATTTGTTCTTTTTGGGTTAGAGGTGAGGAAAAAAAAAAAAAAAAAAAAAAAAATCAAATGATTCCCGTGCCACCAATAATAAGGAGAACCTTTTTGGTTAATCTAGAAAAAAAATGAAAAGGATAAGGACTCAATATTTCATTAACATCTATGACCCTCTTCCCATCTCTCTCTATATATAAATGTTAACGTCTCAGTACACTCTTAAATATCTATACTTCCCACTTTTAGAATCAATTAATTAAACTGAAAAACATCCCTATGAACACAAAGGGCGTAGCCTGCAGGAGGACCTTCGATGAAGATCAGTTGCAAGGTATGTTTAAGTGGTTTGATAAAGATAATAACGGCATCCTTACCAGGCAAGAACTTAATGAGGCCTTTAGCAAACTTGGCTCAAAGTTCCCTGCTTGGCGAGCTTGGCGAGCTCTACTCCATGCCGATACAAACGGAGATGGATGCATAAGCGTAAGCGAGCAGGAGCTCAACGAGCTGGTCAAGTATGCTTTGAAACGTGGTTATAAACTCAAATAGACACATTAGATCTTAACCTTTTGCAATTACAGGAACTAGCTTGGTAACTGGGGTCTACCCTATTAGGAGGGAGGGAGGAGTTTTACGGTCTTTGAACTCCTCTTTTGTTTTTAGCTTTTTAGGTGGGTGCATTTCTAGTTGTTTTGCAATCTATTTAGTATGTGATGTAGAAACTCAGAGAACGTGAGAGCTTGTTTTCCGAATATAAAGCTGTAAATTAAAAGTATGTAGCAATTGAATCTCTTAATCTTGTAATTAACTAACCACGCATATCACACTTTAATAAAAATTGCTGATTTGATTCTTTTGTCTATGCTTTTTAAATTTGATTCCATGGTTTACTATGCTTAATTATCTACCAAACATGGCGTTGGATAAGTTATGTACATATATTTATTATTCTTGTATGATAATTTTGAAGTGTTGCAGTTTTTCCATATGTGTAGAAGGATTTCCGAAATGCTAGAGGGAGTAATATAGCACAAATTATGAAAATCCATTGACTCAATCAATCAAACTTGAAGCAAAACAGTATGCAGGAAGATCGATTAACGAACTACACAGAGATAAATGATCACTTAAAAATGTTGTGGAGTGTTACTTTATGTAAGTTTCTTCAGTGTTTCCGGGAGGAGATTACTATTATGTCTTTTGTGGAAAAATCAGTTGGAATATTTTTCCTTTCATTTATCTGGAATATTTAGGAGTAGTTGTTTATCTGGTTAGAACATATCGTTTCGCCTCAAGTATCAAGAATACAGTAAGGTATATTACTACCTCCACCTTATCCAAATTGATTCTGTTGGTCCAGTTGGGATGAGGCCCAAAACCCACCATATAATTTTAAGGGAATTGATAAGACAGTAAGAGAATCGCTCGTGATACACATATATAACCCAAGTTTATCCACAAATCAGCTGAACTAACTATATATAATTTAATTACCAATAGATGAAGTTGGAAAATAAATAATTACTCAATTATATATCAATCAGAGGTAAATCACCAAATTTAATTTGGTTGGAGACTTAATAAGCTATCATTGCCATAATTGTAAACGTATTATGAATGTTGGTTATATTTCAACACATATGAATTGTTCAATATTTAATTATTGAATATACCATGAATAAGTTAGAAACGGAAATTGAAGGCTGGTTTCCTGTATGTTACCAGTCGTGTATTGCATTATATTTATAGAAGTAATACATGTATTTGAATTTACAAAGTGGTTACTGAGAAGATAAGAATACAACTATAATATATCTGAATAATAGCTTGTTATGATGCTGCAGTATCAGCTTCCATGATCTTCTCAGAATTCAAATACTGCTGATCAGTTATAACTGTAGAATCCTCTATAACTAATATATCTTAACTGATGGAAAGATCACGAATCATCAGTTTGTCTCGAAGTAATCTAAACCGCGAGGAAGTAAGGCCTTTAGTGAATATGTCTGATGGTTGTTCAGCTGTTGAGATGTATTTAGCTTGAATGTCTCGATTGAAAATCTTCTCACGGATAAAGTGGTAGTCCACTTCAATATGCTTTGTTCGGGCATGAAAAACAGGGTTGGATGATAGAGCTAAAGCACTGATGTTATCAATCCAAATGCAAGAGGCAGTGTGCAGAGGTATATGGAGTTCTTTAAGTAGCATCCTGAGCCAATAGAGCTCAGCCGCTGTGTGTGCCATTGACCAATACTCAGCCTATGTGCTAGATCTGGAAACAACGGATTGCTTCTTGGCTGTCCAAGAAATTAGGCAAGGACCAAGGTAAATGCAATAACCCGAGGTGGACTTTCTGTCATCGGGACTGCTTCCCCAGTCTGAATCACAAAAAGCATAAGGTTTAAAGAGCCTTTGCTGAATTGAAGACCAAAATGAAGTGTCCCTTTGAGATATCTGAGGACTCACTTGGCAGCTGTGAGATGGGTAGTTCTTGGACAATGAAGGAACTAGCATAGCTGGTTGACACTATAGGAGAGGCCTGGCATTGTAAGTGTCAAGTATTGGAGAGCTCCCACCATTGTTCTATATTCGGTAGGATCAGGGAGAGGGTCACCCGAGAGCTTTGAAAGCTTGCTGCCTGAGGTACAGGGTGTAGAGGCTGGTTTAGCACCTTCCATCTTCAATTTGTAGAGTAAATCAGGTGCATATTTCCTTTGATTTAAATGAAGACCTGCAGATGTAGGAGTGACCTGTATGCCTAAAAAATATGACAAGGGACCAAGATCTTTAACAGCAAATTCAGTTTTGAGATTAAGAATAAGATGCTTAATGGTAGATGATGCATTGCTAGTGATAATGATGTCATCAACATATATGAGCACAAAAACACACATGCTATCTGTATGAAAAGTGAAAAGGGAAGTGTCAACTGTAGAGGTAGTAAAACCGAGCTCCAATAGGACCTAAGAGAGCCGCAAGAACCAAGCTCTAGGAGCTTGTTTGAGGCCATATATGATTTGTGAAGACAACAGACATGATCAGGCAGCTTAGGATCTTCAAAGCCTCTAGGTTGCTCCATGTAGACCTCTTCCTCAAGAAAACCATGGAGAAAAGCATTAGAATATCAAGCTGTCTAATGCACCAGTTGTAGTGAACAACCAAAGCTAAAACCATTCTAATTGTAGCAAGTTTAATAATAGGGCTAAACGTTTCATTGAAGTCCAGACCATTAACTTGATCAAACCCTTTGGCAACTAACCGTGCCTTGTACCTGTCAAGAGTGCCATCAGATTTCTGTTTAACTTTGAATACCCATTTATTCCGCACAACCTTTTGATGAGTGGGTTGGGGACAAAGGGTCCAAGTATTGTTTGTTAAAAGTGCACTATACTCAGCTTGTATAGCACTTAGCCAATTAGGATCCCTCACTGCTTGGTGATAAGTCCGGGGTTCAATAGGTAAGGAGGATGTAAAGAGGGCTTTGAGAGGGTGTTTGGTGGAATGATAGAGGTGATATTCTGGGAATTGCTTAGGTTTTAGGGAATGGGTTTGAGATCTGGTTATAATTCTAGATGAAGTGGGATCTGTGGATGGAGGGAGGGGCTGTGTATCTGTGTTAAATGAAGAGGGTGGGGGAGAGGTTGGTGGTGAAGAGGCAAGAGTGGATAAGGGACTATTGGCAGGAAAGGAATTGGCTGAAGTGAAAGTGTCATCTGAGGGAGAGACATGAGTGGGGAGGGGGCTGTTATCAGGTTGTGGAGTTGAATATGGAATAGGCAAATTGACTGAGGTTGGAGTGTTTTCTAGAGAAGAGGTAATAGGTAAGGTGATAGGAGCAGGTTGTGAGATTGGATCAGTTATAATTGCAGGAAAAAAAATAGGATTAATAGGAAGATTACCTGATGATGATGAAGATGTGAACACAGGAGACCACTCCTGCAAGGTTGGAGATCCAGCAGCTTTATCCTATGTGATCTGAGCAGGAAAACTTATTTCATCAAAAACCACATGTCTGGAGATGTACACATGTTTAGTTTGAATATCCATACATCTATACCCCTTTTGATTTGTACTATAACCAAGGAACACACACCGTTTGCTTCTAAAGGCTAACTTATGGGAATTATAAAATCTGAGTAATGGAAAACACAGGCAGCCAAAGGTCTTGAGGAGTGAATAATCTGGTTCCTTGTTAAGAAGGGTGAAGTAGGGAGATTTGTTGGCCAAAACAGGAATAGGAAGTCTATTTATGAGATAGGTAGTAGTAAGAAAGGTATCAACCCAATAGGTTGAGGAAAGATGGGATTGAGCTAAGAGGGTTAAGCCAGTTTCTCTGATATGTCTGTGTTTCCTTTCTGAAATTCCATTTTGTTCTGAGGTGTAGAGGCATGTAAGTTTATGCAAAATCCCATTGGTTGAGAGATAAGATTGGAAGGCAGTGGACAAGTATTCACCTCCATTATCAGTGTGGAGTTGTTTAATAGTCGTAGAGAATTGCTTTTCAGCTAGGCATTTAAATCGAATGAAACAACTAAACACTTCAGATTTCTACCTTAATGAAAACAACCAAGTGAATCTTGAAAAATCATCAATAAATATAACATAAAACTTACAACCACCAACAGAAATGATAGGAGAAGTCCAGACATCCGAATGGATTAACTCAAGAGGAGTAATAGACCTATTATTAGACTCAGAGAAGGGAAGCTTATGACTCTTAGCAACTTGACATGACTCACATAAATGCCTAGATTTTATTGGACCAGAAACAGATAAAACAGAACTCTTGATTAATTTAGAAACAACAGACTCTGATGGATGACCCAATCGAGAATGCCAGACTTGAAGAGGAGCCGTGACGCCTAATAGAGCTGTGAATGATGAAAGTAGAGCAGCTTTAGGAGTTGACTTATTGAGTTTTAACTGCTGCAGGTACATGGGATAAAGGTCACCTTTACTCGGTCCTTGGAGGAGTGTTTCCCTGGTCTGCATGTCCTTCACCAAAAAATGAGTGGCAGTTAGAAGAAAGTAGTAGTTATTGTCATGACAGAATTTCTGAATTGATAAAAGATTAGATGAGGCATTAAGACAATGAAGTATATCAGATAGAAAAAATTTTGTTTTGGAGTTGGAAAGAAAGCAAGAACTAGTGGTAGTGACGTTTGAACCTCCTCCATTGCCTACTGTGACTGTATCATTCCCATGATATGGTTGCTGATTCAGTGGTAGGTTCTCAAGCTCTGAAGTAATGTGATTGTTAGCACTGCTGTCAAGGTACCATGGCTGTTCTGGCTCCTAGACAGTATGAGTGTGAGCTGCCATAGCAGCCAGTTGTGCTGGAGGATGCGTACCTTGGTAGTTGAAGTCCATTTGATAGCAACAGTCAAGTGCCTGGTGATTGGATTTACCACATATTTGATAGGGAGGGAATTTGCTTGAAAAACTAGATGTGTTGGAGGTGTTTGAGGGTGGTGTTTTATGTGTATGAGAGGAAGGATTTGGAGAGGTGTTTGGAGTGATATTTGGTCGAGTGAACTGCTGGTTTTTTTGAGGTAGGAATTTTGGTTTTCTGCCATGATGTGGTTTATGTTTATTGGTGAAGAAAGCCATTTGAGTACCTGCAGATGGTAAATTCTGATTTTGTGCCTCGAGAAGTTGCTCAAAGTTGAGTAACTCAGTTTGGAAGTCATCAAAGGAGATGGAATGATCACGGGTGGCAAAATTGAGAGTAGTGATGAAAGGGGTAAATATGGGGTTAAGTCCTCCAACAACATATGAAATCAGATCATCATTCTCAATAGGCTTACCAGCGGTAGATAGTTGATTAGCCCAATTTTTTGCTGTAAGCAAGTAATCAGAACAGTTCTTAGTACCTTGTTGAAGAGTTTGGAGTTGTCTTTTGAGGTGAGAAATTCTGGAGTGAGACTGAGAAGTAAATCTTTTCGACAATGTATTCCAAACTTGTTTGGAAGTAGTGAGGCCATAAACGGTGGACAAAACCTTCTTACTAAGGGTAACATTTAACCATGCCAGGATGAATTGATCCTTCTTCTACCACACCAGGTAGGCAGGGTTGATATCAAAGGTGACTTTGCCATCTGAATCAATGAGGTACTGAGGAGGACACACCTCTAAGCCATCAACAATGCTGAGGAGGTCGTGACTTCTTAGAACTAGAATAAACTGAGTAGTCCAGTTCAGATAGTTGGTCCCTCAAGTTTAATAGAGACCAAAGAGTGATATTAGGAATGATAAAAGAGGGATTATTGGAAGCTGAGGCCATAATGGATTGAAGGGAGAAAAGCGTGAGCTAATGACAGCTCTGATACCAAGTCAGAAACGAAAATTGAAGGCGGATTTCTGTGAATCAAAATGTCAGATGGCAAAGAATCAAGGGTCTGCTTGATATTCTACCAAAGTGATGTCGTTTTAAGTGTCACTTAAATGTGTAAGAATTTGCTCCAGCTCACCATCTCTTACTTTACCAAAATCGTAGCAGCTCTGTAGCTTTCTCTTTTAAGGGTTTCACACTTAGTAATTCATTCATTCAATTAGTAGAGATTGAAAAGCTTACTCTTTAGATTTTCTATTTTTCTTTCAACAAGTTCTCTCGAATTTGCAAAGTTCACTTGGTATCAGAGCCAACGACTAGCGTCAATGGCAAAGACTTCAAATACAAACCACTCCGGCACCAGCTCTGAAAGAATGACTCACTCCTCCAGTTCTGTTTGCTCAGCCTTTTCAACGAATCTTCAAGTTGTCACTCCAAAATTGACTAGAGACAACTATAGAGATAACTACAGCTTCTGGAAGTCGCAAATCCTTTCAGTGGTGGGAGCTCACGAACTTGAAGATCATATGACAGGTTTGATTCCATGTCCTGCACCTTTAATTGCTTTAGATCATGAAGAATCGAGTGAATTAGGTGAAATTAGGTCAAAGGAAAAAGTTAATCTTAATTACATTTCTTGGAAACGAACTGATAAGTTCTTAGTAACCTGGTTGTTAGCATCCATTTCTGAGTGTATGTTTGGAGTTATCTCAAAGTTTCAATCATCTACTGCAATTTGGTTAACTCTTGAAAGTGAATTTATAAATGATTCTAAATCCAGAGCTCTTTACTTAAAAACATTACTTCAAAATACTCATAAAGGAAATCTGAGTAGCTGAGAGTCTCTCTGCAAGTGGCCAAGTCATTTCTGATGAAGACTTACTAGGATTTATTTTGGATGGCCTTGGTCCTGAATTTGATGCAGTAATTGTAAATCTCACATCACGGATAGAGTTTAAGTTTGATTCAGTCACTTTGCAAGAAGCACAATACCTGTTGTAGAAGTATGAAATGAGAATTGAAAGATTCAATTCAGCTGATTTCTTGAATAATTCAGTTAATAGCTCTATAAATGTAGCTGTAATTAGCACTCTAGGATCCCACTTTGTTCAGAGCAATGCTTTACCAACATCAGTATCCTCATCATCTATTCCTCTACATCAACTCACACTAAACTCAAATACTTTTCCCTCTAATACTCAACTTGTCTCAAATGTTCCCAATCATCTCATGCATCCTCAGTATCCCTCACACATTGGAATTCACTTTCCCATCAGTTCCATGCCTCAGTAAATATTGGGCAGTATGGAGTGCCTTATCCACATTTCAGACCATTTGGTTTCTCTTCTTATGGACGAGGGAGAGGAAGAGGAAATCCAAAAGGAAAACCTATTTGCCATGTGTGCAATGAGATTGGACACACTGCAGTGCAGTGTTACCACAGATATAATTCTCACTATAATGATTCCCCTCCACCTTTTGGTAGCAAAGTTCATGGAGGTTATCCAGGTGGCACTGGTCCTAATGTTGGTGGACATCAAAAGTATGAAACTAATGCTGGTG